CTCTTTTTCAGCTAGACTGTAACTGCAAGGCCTGAACGGTGGCCGGGGTAAGGAGCAAGTAGTCATCAGTGAAGTCATCACTTTTGTCACTAAATTTTCCGGTTAGTTTTTTTCACAATGCCATCAGGTTATAGCAGAATACATTGAACAGAACGACATTACGTTGTTTGATCGATGATTGACTATCTAATCCATAGTATAAGCTCCGTCAGGTATATATATTTATATATATAGTACTGAAATACAATAGGATGAATTCATAGATGAATGAAATTTGGAGCTAATCAGAAAAATTATGCATCTCTCACTTAGATCGATATCTGCATCTTAATAGCGTAAAACGAAACGATTTCTCACCACATCATTGTCCATCATTTTTCATTCATGGAAAAGCTGTCTCTGGCACAAAACAGAAAATCTGAAATAAACGATTTTGAAATTTGATACTTAAAACTACGCACAAAATGATACTTAATTATACAACGCAATGTACTGGTTTGGTGATAGATTGATACTGCTCCATCGCAATTAAGCACATGGATCAACGTGTCGCTTTTCATAGACGTATGTCATTTCAAATAGAGCAGCATCATGTTTACTACAGATTACTCATTACTAATCTAACAGTTTTCGGTAATAAATGCACTCCGTAAACTTACTGTTCTTGTCGCTGTTGAAATATTCACTATGATTCATTTGCATAAGCAGAACGTCTGTGATTTTCGCTGTATCCGCAGTTTATTCACACTTTTGCAATAAAGCAATGGTTAATGCATCGCAGAAGGAAATATTGCTCTCAAAACGCAGATCTACCTCTATCTTATTCCTTCATCTTGCATGCTGACCTCTAGATTGACGTCTGCCATATTTTGGATAGAACATGATAAGCTCATGGGTTAGAATAAGTGGTATATGCTCAGCTAATTTATCTAACGGGGCCAACTTCCTTTTTTGATTGAGTTTATCAAGAACAACTTTTATTGGGTTTTCCTATGTCTGGAAGAAAACGGAATCATTCTTTGCATAGTCCTGCCATGTAACTCTCATTCTGCGTCGATGCCAACGTTTTTGTACACAGTTCAGCTGTCTTCTTGCTCCTTAATTAAAACATCTGCTTCAGTGTCTTGCAATAACACTGACCTTGGCAACAGAGGCAAGCAACAAGCGGATTTTCGTTGGAAGAGCAGCGCCCGCCTCAGCCCAAATATTGGACAGATTTCCAAAAGCACTCGAGTGAGGGCGATCCTTCTATTTAACTCTAGCTAAGTGATGCCATCGCTGGAGATGATAATGCCAAGACACTTAAACTGGCCAACTTACTGAAGGTTCCTCCCTCCCTGTTTCACTTCTAGATCGACTTTACCAAAGGGGTTCTTCAGCTTTTGTATCCGGCTAGTTGAAAAACAGGCCGGCTTTCGCAACTGTGTTACATATAGAAACCCTCAGGTGACAGCTTGCCTAATGCACTACTCACAGAGACATCATCTGCATACTTCGGCAAGATATCTATCCGGTTATCTTGAACGATATCTTCCCTCTAGAATGAGACCTTCGTTTTTGCCAGGGTCAGCACTGTTTCGGAAGAGAAAGCCGAGAACACTGTTGCATAGCAAACCGAAAGGTAAAATGTTCTGTCATCTGAAGTCTGACTCTGATAAAGTAGTTTTAAAAAACGTGAGTATTTTGGAGCAGAATTAATTTAGTCTAGCAATAAGCATGCGCCAGCATTTTAAACCAATTCTTGAAATGGTTTCCAATCATCTACAGATATTACAGTACTGAAGTTGAAGGCGATGTTCCTTTAGTGTTTCTGCGAGAGTACTGCATTGACTTTTTTGTATTGAAAAATAAACAAATTTCGGTTTCTAAATTGCGCCCTACTAATCTGCTAAATTTAGTAGCCGGTTCTTTAGAGCTAGAATGTTTTTTTTTAACTTTTAAAAAATGCGTATTACCCGTTTCCATGGAAACGTAAATGCTTCAAGTGGGTTATTATACTTATCTCAAAGGGTAAATTGCGAATAACTTTTTTCACCCGTTATTTACTATCTAACTATTCTTTACGTTATATAGATGCACAAATATATGCGAGATGCATGTAAATGTGCAGGCGCCCAAATACCAGAAAACCACATGCCTTAAAGGCCAATTAGATGACTTTGTCAAAACTGAGTTTTGACTTACTCACGAAACCCCCCCCCC